AGTTGTTGGAGGAAAAAGAAAAGAAACAAGAAGACCGAGAAAAGAAAGAAGAGAGATTACAGCAGTGGCAACTGGAACAAGAACGGAAACAGGAAGAAAGTCTCCAACAGTTGCAGGAAAGTCAGCGGCAACTAGAGGAAAGTCAACAACAGTGGCAAGAAGTACAAATGGAAAACATTAGTAAATTTCAAAGTGAATTAAATACATTAAAGGATGATTTACTGTCTTTTACATAGGGAGGATATATTAGCCATTGACCTAATCAGCCTCAGATAACGGGAAGCCCCTTCCAGACCTCACAGCTAAACCCTAATGCAGACATCTTCAGTGTGTATCTACATCTGTTACACTACCCATGTTGATGAGGTACATTTAAATGTTACACTACCCAGGTTTACAGTGTGTATCTACATCTGCTACACTACCCATGTTGATAAGGTACCATTTAAATGTTACACTACCCAGGTCTACAGTGTGTATCTAAATCTGTTACATACCCATGTTGATAAGGTACATTTAAATGTTACACTACCCAGGTATACCTAGTGTATCTACATCTGTTACACAACCCATGTTGATAAGGTACATTTAAATGTTACACTACCCAGGTTTACCTAGTGTATCTACATCTGTTACACTACCCATGTTGATAAGGTACATTTAAATGTTACACTACCCAGGTTTACCTAGTGTATCTACATCTGTTACACTAACCATGTTGATAAGGTACATTTAAATGTTACACTAACCATGTTGATAAGGTACATTTAAATGTTACACTACCATGTTGATAAGGTACATTTAAATGTTACACTACCCAGTAGATACACCTAATCAACCTGGATACTCTTACAGGTTTAGATACACCTAATCAACCTGGATACTCTTACAGGTGAAGATACACCTAATCAACCTGGATACTCTTACAGGTGTAGATACACCTAATCAACCTGGATACTCTTACAGGTGTAGATACACCTAATCTAATCAACCTGGATACTCTTACAGGTGTAGATACACCTAATCAACCTGGATACTCTTACAGGTGGAAGTAGGTTCTTTTTGTCTATAATTATAGAGAATGTGAAATAGTATGTACAGGAAGTAGGTTCTTTTCGTCTATAAATATAGAGAATATGAAATAGTATGTACGGGAAGTAGGTTCTTGCTATCTATAAATATAGACAATGTGAAACAGTAATATATGGGACATATGTTCTTGCTATCTATAAATATAGACCATGTGAAACAGTAATATATGGGACATATGTTCTTGCTGTCTATAAATATAGACAATGTGAAACAGTAATATATGGGACATATGTTCTTGCTATCTATAAATATAGACAATGTGAAACAGTAATATATGGGACATATCTTCTTGCTATCTATAGGTATGAATGTGAACTAATATGTACAGGAAGTAGGTTCTTATTGTCTATTAGGATAGAGAACGTTTATATGGTATGTTCAGAAAGTAGGTTCCAGCTGTATATAAATACAGAGAATATTAACTAAAACCTACTCCATCTTTGAACTGTTTATCCTTTAAGGATAGAAAAGTTAAACAGTAGAAATAGGGAGTATGTTCTGGGTGTCTTTAGGAGCAGAAGAATCACTGTTCGTACAAGGAGTAGGTTTTTGCTGTCTAGGTACAGAGAAGGCAAAAAGTTCAAAGCAGGGGTAGGTTTTAGCTTTCTTTAACGATAGAAAAGTAAAACAGTTCATGCAGGAAGAATGTTTTAGTTTTCTTTAGGGATAGAAAAGGTTAAATTAGTATGTTTTAGTGTTGCTTAGGGATAGAAAAGGTTAAAATATTCATATGCTTGAGCTTTCTTTAGTCTTTAGGGAAAGAAAAGGTTATTAGTTCATACAGGGAGTAGGGAGAAACATAAATGTTTAGAACATATACACTGTATCTTTCTCTAGGTATACAGAGAGAGATAGTTTATTATTCACTATGTAGGTACTTTTTACTACAGAGAAGATGAAACGAATTTTTATATCTAATTTTTCTAAGAAAGTGCAATTAATCTTTGCATTAAGTAGGTTTTATCTTGTATATCAGTATACATTTTTTGAGTTATGTAGAACTGTTGGTTGTATTTACTAATCACCTTATTTTCCATCAGATGAATGTAACACTGTGGAGAACTGTGACAGGAATGCACAATGTACTTATGACAGCAGCTCTAACCGGTACCAGTGCAAGTGTAATCCTGGGTACTCGGGAGATGGAAAGTCATGTCAGCTTGAAGAAGGTACAGAAATCCATGTAATCACACTCATCTGTTCTATAAACTTCTGAGTGAAGGGACAGATATCAATGTTATCTATATAATCTTTAAAATAAACTAATGAGTTAAGTTACAGACATCAATGTTATCACTCTCATCTGTTGTAAGAAGTAATGAGTGGAGGTACAGAGATCCATGTTATCACTCTCATTTCGGCCTGGCATGGCCAGGTGGTTATGGCACTCGACTTCCAACTTTCGGGTCGCTTGTCCGAATTCCCATCTCATAAAAAATGCTGCCCCTTTCAGCAGTGGTGGCATTATAAAGTGATGGTCAATCCCACTATTTGTTGGTAATAGAGTAGCCCAAGAGTTGGAGATGTGTGGCAATGACTAGCTGGCTTCCCTCTAGTCTTTCACTACTAAATTAGGGATGGCTAGTGCAGATACCTCTTGTGAAGTTGTGCACGAAATTTGAAACAAACGAAATCACTCTCATCTCTTGTAAGAACTAGTGAGTGAAAATACAGACATCCATGTTATCACTTTGATCTGTTGTAAGAAGTTATGAGTGAAGGTACAGACATCCATATTATCACTCTCTGTTGTAAGAACTAGTAGTGAGTGAAAATACAGACATCCATGTTATCACTTTGATCTGTTGTAAGAAGTTCTGAGTGAAGGTACAGACATCCATATTATCACTCTCATCTGTTGTAAGAACTAGTAGTGAGTGAAAATACAGACATCAATGTTATCACTTCCATCTCTTGTAAGAACTAGTGAATTAAGATACAGATGTCCATGTTATCACTCTCATCTGTTCTAAGAACGTTTGAGTGAATGTACAGACATCCATGTTATCACTCTCATCTCTTGTAAGAACTTTTGAGTGAAGGTACAGACATCCATGTTATCACTCATCTGTTGTAAGAACTTTTGAGTGAAGGTACAGACATCCATGTTATCACTCATCTGTTGTAAGAACTTTTGAGTGAAGGTACAGACATCCATGTTATCACTCTCATCTGTTGTATTTACTAGTGAACGAAGGTACAGACATCCATGCTATATCTTTAAGATCTTGTGAGTGAAAGTAAAGAAGAATGTATGACAGTATATCAACCATGCAATATCCATTCTTCTTCCTCAATAACAGGGCTCCTGGCTATATGATATATGACAAACACAGCTTTGGTAGAGACACACTTTATATCATTAATTCTATGTACAACAGCTGCAATGGTGTGAACTAGCTGGTTAAATGAGAAATAAACCAATGAAGTAAGAGATACGATATCCTAAGTATTGTTACAGATTTGGATATAACTTATTAACCTGGATTCTCTTACAGGAATGGATACACCTTATAATTATAGACAAAAAGAACCTACTTCCTGCACATACTATTTCACATTCTTTATATTTATAGATGAAAATAACCTACTTCCTGTGCATACTATTTCACATTCTCTATACATACTATTTCACATTCTCTATATTTATGGACAGCTAGAACCTATGTCCTGTACATACTATTTCACATTCTCTATATTTATGGACAGCTAGAACCTACTTCCTGTACATACTATTTCACATTCTCTATATTTATGGACAGCTAGAACCTACATCCTGTACATACTATTTCACATTCTCTATATTTATAGACAGCTAGAACCTACGTCCTGTACATACTATTTCACATTCTCTATATTTATAGACAGCTAGAAACTACTCTGTATAAACTGTTAACTGTTAAGACAACTAGAACACGCCTTATGTAATTGGTTTAAACTGTTGTTTTAAAGAAAGTTGCTGTGTTAAGTAAAGCTACTGATTAAGCAAAGGTAACATTTTAATTAAGTATAGCTATTGCTTTGATTAGGAAAAACTACTATTTCAAGAAAAGCTATTGTTTTAATTACCTATTGGTTCACAGTTGATTCCATCTCCATCATATCCTTCTTGACACTGACACACATGTTTGAGAATGAAGGAATCATATACACAGTCAGCATGGATGGAACAAATGTTGTTTACATCACAGGTCAACTCCTCTAGAAATAAACTTATACATGGATCACACATCATTCTCAAGTATGTGTAAAGCAACATTATGACTAATTCTTCTACAAAAGTGTGTAAAGCAACATTATGAATAATTCTTCTACAAACGTTTGGTGTCAGAGAGTGGGACGAAAAAAAAAGATGGAAACGAGAAGCAGCAAATCAAACTACAGCTTAGCAGATTTGATAGCAGCAATACAAGAGCAGCAAAAGAAACA